ATTCATAATATTATTATATTTAAATTATTATTTCATTTTATTATTATTTAATTTATTAATTTATTTATTATTTATTAATTTATTTTTATTAATTTTTTTATTAATTTTATTTTCTTTTCTATTTAAGATAGATTACTTTTATATATTTTAGAGATTTTATAAATGATATTTTTATTATAATCTAAATACTAGTATCATAATATCAGTTTTGTCATAATAACATTGTTAGTTTTGCTAACTTTATTATAATAATTTCATTATAAATATTATTCTTGTAAAACTATCTAAAAATATTTATCAATAATATTATCTTAATTATTATCCAATAAAAATAACTAAATAATTATTCAATAAAAATATGAGTATAAAATAATTAATATTAATAAATTATATATAAAAAAATCTAATACTATAATTAAAATATTAATTATATTATTATATTATCTTTCTATTTTAATATTTATTAACTTAATTAAATCTAATTTGAATTAATTTATTTTAATTTCAGTTTATTATTTATAAAAAAGACATAAAAAAATTATTATTATTTTAAGCTTGAGTATATGTTAGTATTTTAAAATAATAATAATAATAACTATATTTATGATAACTATTAATTTTTAACTACTAAAACAAAAAATAATTAATTATCTTTCTAGTAATATATTTTAATAAATTTAACTCTTAATAAAAATACTCTCTTAATAGAATAAGAAAAATAATAATTAAAGATAATATATATCAAATATATATATTTGTTATAAAAATAATATTAGTTAGTTATTTTTAACTTTAATAATCAATTATTCTATTAAATTTAATTAATTTTTCTTGATTATTTCTTGATTTTTTATATATAATATTTTTTATTATACTAAATTACAAATTAATTTTATCATAATATTTCATCTAATTTACTAAGAATAAGTAAAAACTTGAAAAAATTATTATAAAGAATTTTTCTTAATTAATAAGAAGTAATTAAAAATTAAAATTAATAAAATATTAAAGAAATTATATTTAGAAAAGAAAAAATTAATAACAATAATTAAATAAAATATTAATAATCTATAAAATTATTAATTTAATATAATACACATGACTAAATTATATAAATTATATTTAAAATTAATTAATAAGTAGAACTAAATATGGTTAAGAAGATAAATTAATAATAGAATTATAAATTAATATATTATATTTCTGATTTAGTAATGATTGTTGACTGCGCCTGCGGCTGCGCCATATTACTGCGCCTTATATATAACTAATCGATTATAATATATCAAATAAATATATAAATTAAGAACTAAAGAAATAAATATATAACTATTTATACAACATAAATTATAATAATATATGTGATAAATATAATGACCAATAGGATATAAGACACATGATAAATATAATAACCAAATAAAAGAAATAAACTAATAAGTGAAAATTTTTAACTATAACAGTATTTTCGCTTGTAAATTTTGCTTTGTAACTTTGGTTTTTATGTATAATGCGAAACAGTTTAGTAATTAGATTAGATAGTTTTCGAAACAGTCTAGTAATTATTGATTCCTTTTTATTGCTATTTTCGCTAGTTTCGCTGATTTCGCTATTTTAGCTATTTTCGCTATTTTCACTACTTTCACTAAATTTGTAGATCTTAATTACAAATGGCATAATTAAATATTATTTACAAAATATAACTGGATAATAAAATACCTAGATACCTAAATAAATAAATGCTATATTACATATTATTTGTAACATGTAATACATAATAGAAAGCTTTCACAAGCACAATTATGACATAAGATTCGAATAAACGCCAATCACAATCGTGTTCACCACTATTACTATAAAACATATATAATTTAATTAATAAATGCTCAGGCGCATGATTCACCGCAGTATATCATATATTATTATAAAAAGGACCTGTTATAAAAAAACTTTGTAAATCTTAAAAAAAAAATGGCTACGAGAATTAGAGACTACTACGACTTTGAGAGAAGATGGTTTGAAAAAAACGCACCTATAGGAGGATTCACAAATCCAAATGGCGAGTGTTTCCCAGTTAACGCCGAAAATTTATTAAAATCGTTAAAATATCGAGCAGAAAAAGCGAGCGTAAAATGCCTCTGTAATTACTTATCTGGGATTACTGGATATCACACACAAGTTCTTCGTTTGACGAATTGGAAAGAGCAAGTCAGAAATGACCAGCGCATAAAAGATTATATTGATTCATTACGAGGCTCTGGTCCAATTGGAATTATGAGCGAGCAGCATCGTCGTGGAATGAAAAATGCCAGGCGACGTGTTCACAATTTGCATACACAATGAGACATTGGTCTCTTGTGTCTAATTTATTTACTCAACTCTATTTTTTTTGTCTTTCTATTAGTATTTTATCCATACTCCATCTGTTTGAATAGCAAAATAAGCACTTACTACCTACTTTCATTTTTGCATATTACATTTCACATATATTATTATACAACTTTTTATTCACATTAAAGCACATATTTGCTAATCATTTGACTTTTGATATTTATTATACTATTAACAATATGGCAAAATGTATTGAATTTTCAATTATAAAAACAGTAGATATTTTTTTATAAATCTATTTTCTTTAATATTGCATTATTTTATTTTATATTTATATCATTTTTAAATTTATATTCTTATTAATTTTTATTTATTATTCAAGTAAATTAATATAATTTATTTTATTATATTGAATTATTTTAATTATTTTAGCTATTAAAATCCATTCTTTTTATCTTTTTCTTGTTACTTGCTTTTGAATTAGTTTTGAAGAGAAAAAAAAAGATCAATTCTAAAATAAAAGCATCATATATATTATTAAATAATATGTTTTGATTTTTTTTAGTAAAGATGTTAATTATGAATTGAATATCAAGTTGATTATACTTATTTAATTATAAAATCAAGTTGAAAAATCTGAATTATTATAAGAAAAGAGATATTTTTATTTATTATTCTAAATAAAAAAATAAGAATAAAATAATTTATAATTTATATATATATTTTAAGATTATTTTTAATAAAATCATATAGTAATTTATTTTTGAATCTTATTTATAAAAGTTATATATAGTGGCAATCAAAAATAATGCAACACTTAATTTTTTTACTAATTATAATTAGTAAAAAAATTAAGTGTTACATTATTTTTTATTGCTTATATATTTAAGTTGATAATAATTTTTTTATTTATTAATATATTATAAATTTATATATTAAAATATAAAATATATTATGAGTTAGTGCAAAAAGATTTATATTTCAGATAAATTATTTTTTTAAAATAAAATTTTAATTCTATTTTATTTAATTAAGTTATTAAATATTGAGATTTATTTAAATGTAAAAATTTTTATTATATATCTTTTATAAAAAAATTTTTACTAATAATAACTTTTT